CTTGAGCATGTAGTACAATCGATAACTATCATCCTTCGTAAACCAGGCCCTTGTCTCCTCAACAAAACTCTGGTGTATCCGACTAAAAAAAACCACACGTCAATCTCGTCCTTTATGCCCTCGAAAACAACAAATCGTCTGAGTATGTGGCAAAATGCATCCTCCAACAAGTCATCACAACGATATTCGCTCATCTGCTGTCTCACCAATTGGAAGTGGTCCATTATGTTTTCTGGCTTTGCAGAAAACATTTTTTTTAAGGTTTTTTTTTTATTTTTGTATTTTTATAAGAGGAGAGAAGATGTAGATTGTATTTTTCCCTATGTTAATGGGAGAATTTATAATGATGTGAAGACTGTGAAGAGGGGTGGTGATGAGTGTAAAGATGCTCTAAAAAGACGCCTAAGTTGATTAGACGTGACGGTTCGGATGATGGGAAGAGAAGAGGCGGTTGTTTATTTTGATTGCGTCTTTACTAGCTTGCATAAATAAATAAATTAGTCTTTTTTTTATCAAATAAATAAATTAGTCTCAAATTCAATTCCTTTGTGTTTGAACATTACAGTGATTTTGATTAGGCACAAGATTAGCCAGATAAATAAAGGCAAATATTTTTTGGCAAATTAAGATGCGTTCATTACAACCAAATAATACATATAAATAATTATATATACATTAATATCTAAAAAAATATTTATATAACACAATTCTTAAATAATGCTGACGTTAAAAATAAAATCATGGAATGGTTCTAAAATGAAATAATGATGAAGATGGGATGATTTTTTAACAAATAAATCAAAGCAACTCTAATTATAACAACTTCGTATTAAATCTTACATTAGTAAGTCCGAGCCTATTTATTTGAGAATGTAATTATATTAACTTTTATTTGGCTAGGGCGGTTAGCAAACCAAACCGAACCGATCTTAAGGTTTCGAACTCGAGCTCGACTAATTTTCGAACATGTTCATATTTATATATTATATTACATATGTATATCCTATATATAATATATAAAATTACAAAATATTTTTATTTAATTTAATATGTAAATATATATTCATATTTATATAGTTATTATACTATACATGTATATACTATATGTCACATATAGTTGTGTAACTGTTCGTGTTTGTTCAATAACTAAACGAACATAATTTCATGATTGACTTCGGTTTGATTGCTCAACGAACGAGTTGTTATCGAACACGAACGAGGTTTGTTCACGAACAGCTCGATTCGAATATCTACAAATCTCCGAAATCGAACTAAATCGACCTATTTGTTATCGAACACGAACGAGGTTTTGCAGAATAAATGTCTTAAAGCACCTAGATTTGAAGACTTCCTAACTATAATTTATTTTCTGTTTAATTTTCATATCATTTTGTGTTTTTTTTTTTAAATTCCATCCCTTGTTTAAAAACTTGAAATCATGTTCGCAATCATATTGTATGTATAAGATATAAAAAAAAAGTTAAAGTATTATTAGGTTTATTATTTAAAAATGATATTTATTTCAAATCTAATTGGTATGTTGTCAATGTAATAAAAATAAATAATTATTATTTAAATTCTAAAATTACACATAAAATTAAAAAACTGTGAAGCACGACTGATACGACACTTGATGTTTAGGCATCTAATTACGTAAAAAAAAATTAATCTATTTTGCTCAATATTGAATAAACATATTCTACACTTATACATATACATATCACCATAATATTTCTATTTATTAAGATATATATTTTTGTACTTATGTAATAGTAAATAATATCTATATTTTTATATGATATAAGTAAAAAATACAACACGGGTTGACATTTTCATTTAATGCGGGTGTTTAATTATTATGATTAAAAAAATGTAAATTTACAATTGAATTAAAACCCAAAGTAATGTTTTATTTAAAATTAAATTATTTTAGTTTTTTAGAAAATAAAAAAAAATTAATATTCTTTAAAAAAGTTTTCTAATTCAACACTCGTGTAATACACGGGTATTGTACTAGTTTAATATTGATTGAAAATAAGTACTTAGTTTGAGATTATTCATACAATTAAATATCAATTTATAAAGAAGAGTCGGAGACATTTTTTATCGCACGTAGTTCAAATCGTAAAAGAAGACCAATTTTTAGAAACAACCAATTATATGTTGTTGGAAAATATAATTATATTCTATTATACATGTATATACTATACATGACATATAAAATTATTAAATATTTGAACTTTACTAATAGGCATACGCGAATACGGTCGAAATTTGAACTTCACGAATCAGGCTTCATTACCATATCCAACCAATAGTTGGAAAATATAGCACGTTGTACTTTGGTCTAATGCTTTAGTACAGTAGTAACGTTATAAATTGTTAATTCGATATACAAACACAGTCGAAATTTGAACTTTACGAATCATGTTTGATTAAATAGCATATAATGATTATAATCCATCCAATAGTTGAAAAATATAGCCGGATACACAAATACCGTCGGAATTTGAACAATACGAATCACGTTTGAATAGTGGGTTTAGTACATTAGGGACGTTCATATTTGTTGGCTCCTACAGTCGTACACGGCTAACTGTCGGATTATATCAACGTCGTGACAAATTTAAAATCGTTATTTAATTTAAAAATATATTTATTAATCACTTTTGAAATAGTGATGTAATTTAAAATCCAATATTAAAGTTATTAACTTTATAATTTTGTAATTTTACAAATAACATTGTCAGGTTAAATTTGCAATTAATTACATGTACCCAAAAATAAAGAAAATTTACTACCGTACATGTCAAAAATTGTCAAAGTGTGAACATATAAAGCGCACAATATTAATTCGGACGATGAAAAAGGTAAAAGGGAAAAGAAAAAATGAAAAATGAATGAGCATTTGATTTGAAGAGACATCTATCACATTTATTCATCCGAAATCAAAGGAATTAATAAANTCTTTTTTTTTCAGCCTTAGAAGATATAATAAACCATAAGAAATAATAAAAAAAATGCAGATTTTGCCCCAGTCCGCCGATGCATATATTCGGCGAATGAAGTTTGCAGATCTCCGTGTGTACAACGACTACTGGGATAAGTGGACTATATGGCTCGGTGTGAGTTTTGGCAATGTCATATTCCAAAAAGGATGGCGTACCTTTCTTCATGATAATGAAATATTTGAAGGGGACACCCTTATTTTCAGACATATTACTCTTAACCTGTTTGAATTAAAATATTTTAATAAACAAGGGGGCTTAAAATACCCTCCTCAATTGGGAGATCTACCACCATATGATGGTCAAAACGATTTTATGACATAGATTATAGTTAATTTCTCTTTTTTAGTGTAATGTAATTTAGTTTAAAAATACCCAATGAATGTAGTGTTTTCTGTTTATGTTTAGCTACGGATGCTGCATTATATTTTTATTGCTTGCATTTTACATTTAATAACTTACTTTAAAAAAAAATATGATGTACAAATTACAGTTGTATATTATCAGAAAGGTAATGCAAGCAGTTTAAACTTGTTAAGAGCCATGAGTAATTAAACTTGTACAAGATGCACCATATGTGTTTCTACGTCATATGTTTCTTAACATGATGAATATGTTTCATTTAAAAATGAACATGTCAAATTATAAGATTAAGATGTCATGTTATAAAATGAGTAAGTTTTATTATCAGCTAAATATGTTAAATTATGAGACGAACATGTTTCTTAACACGATGAATATGTTGATTTTGTACAGGGTGAATATGTTTCTTAACATGATCAAGCTGAGTACTATTTTTATTATTAAGACTTAAAATACTTGAACTTTGTCATTAAATAATTAATTAAAAAATATCATGATATTTTAAATATTATCACTTTACATGAGTCACTGATTTTCAAGATGGCCGCTAAATAAATAGTGATAATTAAAATTTTAATGTATTAAATATTTTTTTTAAATTCATTATTTACCATAAAATAAGCCCATGTATTTCAAGATAGCAAATATTTTCGGATTCCACTTTAATTTTATTTAATTCAATTTTTACACCTATTAAGGTGTGCCAGGCCATAGACGTGTAATAACATGGAGAAGAAGATTTACAAAATTTTGTCTCCAATGGTGAATGTCAATTTTAGTATACTTTGACATGTGTGATATTATAATTGGTTGGGAATGACATATATATTTAATAAATAATAAAAAATTTAATGGAATATATAAGTAATTCTAGACATTTGAATGCCACATAAGATTAATAATGCCACATGGCAATAAAAAGGAGCAATCCATGGACCATTGGAGATGCTCTAAGTGGCAATGGAATATACCAATCCCTATAACATTGTAGATGTTGTTTGTAGTAAAGTAAAGATTATTGTGAAATACACCTGTACAAACATGGATCACTGACATAAATTATGCTGACACTATCCTTAATATTATCAAAATTATTAAATATATATTAACCAATCATTTTTACACAACATTAATTTTAAATTCCAAAGAAACAAGTAACCATATTATATTATTCAAATTTAATACTTATTAAGAAAAATAATTGTAATATTTTAAGAAATAATCAAATTATTTTTAAATTCGAGAAACAAATCAGCATTGGTTTTAAATAAAATCGAAATAATAATGTTCATAAGTTGACGATTTTTTTTAAACGATGACCGAGAAATAAATGATTACACCTCGAAACTAACGAAAATTTTTTACAATTAATGTCATGATCCATCAGACATTTTTAAACGCAATAGATTTTCATACCACTTATTTTTTTTTTTGAAAAATTCACTTTCTTTACACACACCTAGATTAATACATTAATACACGGTGCAAGGCAATAATTACGATTTGGAAGATAAAGAGCCGGTTATAAATTAAAGGCAAATAACCGAGAAACCCTTTCAATATTAGAAACTTGAACAACTCGTCAATTATTTTACTCATCCAATTTTGCAGAAGGATCCAATTTTGCAGATGGCGGACAGATCGTTCATCATCCGTGTTGAGTTCGACAAATTCCCAATAACGGTAATTTATTTTTTTCCCATTTCGCAACATGTTAACATATCAAATATTACACCGACATATCTTTAATGCAGATTTTACCCCCTGCCATGGCTGCAAACCTTAGGATGGTGGGGGTTGTACAACTTTGACTGCACAATGACAAGGGGAACACTTGGATTGTTGTCGCCGGTCTAAATGCCGGAAGCGCCATCTTCCAAGGGGGTTGGGGTAGATTCCTTCTTGGTAATGGAGTAAACGTGGGAGACACCATTTTGTTCGATCATGTTGGTTTGCATATATTCAATGTTTTTATTTTTGATGACAAAGGAAACATAAAATCCGCTCCTGCTAAAGGTGATCTACCTCCTTATGCAGGTAGAAAGGATTTTATGACTTAGTTTATGTTTTTTATTTTTATTTTTATTGTTCTATGTAATGGTTGTGTTTGCAATTAAATTATTTTATGTTTTCTGAATTTATCAATTTCGAATTTGTGATTTTGTTTGCACGCTCATTACACTTGATAAATTCTACTGAAAATATATATATATATATATATATATAAGCAAACACTTATAGAATAATTAAGAATAAATATGACAATTGTTAATGTTGTATGTACAAACTAATTGCAATATAAATATAATATTATGAAAGGTTGTCTTCACAACTAAAGTTGAAAATTATATATAATTTTATATGATCATATTATTTCGACGGGGATTTTTTTTTTTTTAATTTTCCGAACTCTTCTCGCTCTTAATCTCTTCTCGCCTTGCTCTCTGTATAGAATTTCGGTTCGCGTGTAGCATGCTTGTACGTAACATGTTTCTTAACATGATGAATATGTTTCTTTGTAAAATGAACATGTCAACTTATAAGATGCACATGTTATGTTATAAGATGAATATGTTGTATTATAAGCTAAATATGTTAATTTATAAGATGAACATGTTTCTTTCTCAGATGAACATGTTTATTTACACGATGAATATGCTGAGTTTGTACCAGGTGAATAAGTAGATTTTGTACGTAATATGTTTCTTAACACGATCAATATGTTTCTTTGTAAAATGAACATGTAAAATTATATAATATAGATGTTCTTTTATAAGATGAGTATGTTTTGATATCGATTAGGTATCAAAAATCAATCTATATATTTATATATATCTGTATATATGTAACTACATCCACTCAGACCAAAAAATTTAATTAACAAAATGTTGTGAAACTACACACTTTATCACGTCTGTCCTTTGGGGAAAAAAAAATCACGTTTGTCGTTTTGTATCACAGTTGCCCAAATTTAATTATTATCAGGATGGTGGTTGCGTGTTCAACTCGGTTTATTAAGGGACCTTTTTTTTTTTAATTCCTTTTGACACAAGCATTTAAAAGGGACTAAATCTGAAATCGATTTTGAAGTTGGGAAACCCTATTTCAAAAGAGGTACTGCACATCCGTTTATTTTTTTATCTTCTTATTTTTTTAAACGACTCAAATAATTTTGATTTAATTATTTTGTAGCTTTAATACAGCCATGACGAACAACGACGATGTACAACAAATGACGGCAGTATTTCGCGGACCAGAATGGAGCGAGCAGGACGTGTTGGTGTGTTACAAACTCTTCTTTGAAAAGGCTCTCGCATTGAACGAAATTCACAGGCCCTCGGTGTTCAACTCAATATGGACTCCACTGGCGCGAGATCTGTCACAATTATTGGGTAGATCTGTTGAAAACCGGGCTGTTAGAGAACAAATACAGCGGCTAAGGAACCACTACAACCTTTTCAGGAAGTTTCTACAGAGAACGCGCTCAAAAGTCCATTCGGAAAGTGGCGAGGTTAGGGTGAACAAATTCTATTCGTTATACGTGTGGCCCGAGGTGAATTATTCATATATTTTACATTACCTATTTATGAACAATTAATCTAATCACTCAAATATATTGATTATATGAATCTCTGTTTTAATGTTTGCTAACATAAATAAAGGAAAATCCTATCGAACGATTTCTCCGAACAACTGGCTTCAAGTGGCACGACAAATGCATGCTGGTATTTGAAATGAGAGAAGCGGCTATTTGTTTCAACGATGCTATTCAGGCAATTTTTGATGTTCCGAGTGATGTTGAATCTTCATCTGATGTTTGAAATGACTTGGTAGGAGGTGGATCATGTTGTGGGGTTCTTCTGGTTATGTAGTCTATGTGTTTTTTATTTTTCTTTCTCATCGAAATGTGCGTTGTTCATTTTGGCAGATGGTTATTATCAATTTCATGTTAGGGCTTACGTTTATTAATTATGGCATTTCTTGAGATGGTTTGTAATTGGGTAAACTTGATTAAAATGTAACCACCCTCATGACTAATTTTTATTGCAAATGCTCATTTTAGTTCTTATTCTGGCCTTTCACAACTTGATGATTGTTTATTTTTTGGTAAATTTAACATTTTACGTAAATGCAGGGAATTATAACAAAAATTTGGGAAACAACCCCCATTCATATATGGACTCTTCCAATTAATTTTGTTACATAAAAAAAAAGTACCAAATACGTTTCAAGGTTTCTTTGTACATAATTATCTGAATACAACAATTTGGAAGAATCCTTGGTATATAAAAAACGAATGACTTATTTGATTTCAAAAAAAAAATCAATAGCAATAATTTGGTGTTTACTAATAATATTTAGTGTAAATACATACACAACTTTCTATTTCTACTTGAAATCAATAATTGATCGAAATGTATTGATTAGAATTTTCAAACTTTTTAAGTGGAAATGGAATATAGCAATCCCTGTACCATTGGAGATGTTGTTACCATTTGTGGTAATGTCAACATTGATGTGAAACACACCTGTACAAACTTGGATCATTGACATAAATAATGCTGACGCTATCCTTAATATTATCAAAATTATTAAATATATATCAACCAATCATTTTGACACATGACATTAATTTTAAATTCCCAAGAAACAAGTAACCATATTATTTTTTTAAAATTTAATACTGATTAACAAATATAGTAGTAATATTTTAAGAAAAAATGTAATTATTTTAAATTCGAGCATAATAAATTGATCGTACTCGTTCGTGTTCGAAAAATTTGGGAGATAAACTATTTAAATATGTTTGATTAACTCGAAATTTGTCCGTTCGAACTTGTGTTGGTTCCATTATAAGACGAGACTAAGTTTCGGTGTGAGCTTTTATTCGCAAACATTCGGTTCGTTTGCAGCCAAATACAGGCAAACCAATCATTATTATTGGTTTTAGAATCGAAATAATAATGTTCACAAGTTGATGTTTTTTTTTTTGTAAACGATGACTGAGAAATAATGATTACATCTCGAAAATAACCAAAATTTTTTACAATTAATATCATGATCCATCAGACTTTTTTAAAAGCAATTAGATTTTCAAAAGATTTTCATACCACTTCTTTTTGTAAAATTCACTTTTTTTACACACACACACCTATACCATTAAAATATTCAAACCCTAATAAATCTCTGTACAAAACCAACTCCTCCACTCCATACATTAATACACGGTGCAAAGCCATCATTGCAATTTGGAAGATGAGTCGGTCATAAATTATTTTGTTATTAACCGAGAAACACCTTTCAATTTTACAAACTTAAACAACTCGTCAATTATTTTACTCATCCAATTTTGCCATAATGATCCAATTTTGCAGCTGGACGATTTCATCATTCGGCTGTTGTACTAGTATTAATATATATATATATATATATATATATATATATATATAAATGTTTAATTATTTTTTATAGTAACTATTTCCCTCCAAAACAATTATATTTACAATTTTGGAAAATTAATTTAGCAATTTATGGTATATTTTAAATAATCAGATATGAAAATTACGGGTCATTATTTAAGAAAATAATTAAGCCATATAAAAATATATTTTTAAGATACCTTAATTACTCTAATGATGTGAATTGGTTGACTTACCCAAATATGAAAATTTCGGCTGCAATATCAATTATGTGATTTGGTAAAAAAATTACCACTAAATTGTACAATTTATTCTTTGATAAGTGTTTTTTATTTTTCGTGTAATTATTTTGTAAAATACATTTTTAATATACATTAATTACGCAAATTTTGTAAAATCGACTAATTTATTCAATCTGTAAATAATTACTACAATTTAAGAAATATCTACAACAATAATTAATTATGCAGTTTATAAAAAACTGTTCGTCAAAAATTGTGTTAATGAAAATTTTTATTAAATATTATTTAATAAATGTTATTCATTTTTTTTTATTTAATTGCTCAAATTGTGGATAATTAAGGAAATAATTTGGCCATAAAAATTTACATTTTTAAGATACCCTAATTACGCAGATCGTGTAAATTCGGTTGATTTATTTAATTATAATTTCTTATAAAACTATTCTAAAATAATTGTGTCATTAGTACTTTCTATTTAATTGAATTTTAGTAACTATTTTTTTGGTATTTTTTTTATCTATAATAAATGTGTTGTGCGTTGTGCAATTAATTTCGTGCTTAAACTGAATATCATTTTTTGTATTTTATCAATAAAGTATGAAATCGAATTATGTGGTATATTATATACTGATTCAATATATCCGCTTATGGTAATAAATTGTATCTCCATATTTTTTTTTTCATATTTATAAGCATTTCACTCGATAATAATGAAAAAAAATCTGGTGTGTGTGTGTACAAAGGGAATTAATTTTTACTTAAATCACATTGTAGTCAAATCGATTTTCTGAATAAACAAAATGAAGATCATACCTATTTTGAAATGAATATAATGTAACTTATTATAAGTTATTTGCACCCTACGGGTCGTGTACTAATTTTAAATAGACATTTTGCACAATTTAAAGTTCATATAAAATTTTAAACAAATTAATATAGGTAAATTGTATTATATATTGATTCCATATTTTATATAAACATGTTTGATTATTTTAAAATTAGTAACTGTTTCACGCAAAAATAAGAAACAAAAAAGTTGCTTAGGAATTAATAATTCAATTATTAGTATGAAATGAATATTTTTGGTATGAAAAATCCAGAGATTTATTGGCAAAGATTTTTTGATATCGTTGGTTTTGTTTTTTTTTGGTATGAAAATTGTGAAAGTTGAATTATTATTTTATTTAAATTTTTTATAACATTTTAAAAAATTATATATATAGGTACATAACATTGTATTACATATTGATCTAATCTATATATATAAGTACTAGCTGATGCATTTAATAAAACCTATTTTCATTTCCCTCCAAAAGGAGTTACATTTTTTTAATTAATTACTCACTAATCTGCTAAAACCGTTACACCTTATATATATTTTTATTATTTGTTTTTTGAATCAGTTACTAAATTAATTCTAAATTTGATAGCAAAATATTCAAATGTGTAACGGCTAATGTTGGAACTTAAAGTTGATTGGCACGTTCAGAGCTGCAACCGCTATATTTAGTTGCCTTGTGGGAAGAAGAATATGATTGACACATTTTTTTTTTCTAAAAATCAGAAAAACCATATTTTTTTATTTATGTTAATTTTCTTAATATATGCCACAAATATATAAATTATTTTCTTCATGTTACTAATGTAACGTTGCATGGTTAAAATAATATTTAAATCACAATTAATTTTGAATGATAAAAATAACTTAAGAAAAAATAATAATTTTTATATGATTGAAGTACATGTCTAAATAATAAATACAAACAAAAACGTGTTTTATATCTGTGCAAATGCACATGATCAAATACTAGTATTATTTTAATTTATAGAATCACATTCAAATATAACATTAGATTTGGTGAACAACTGTCGCGTCAATCACGATATATTCCCAATATTTAGTTGATTTACTGTAGATATCAATGATCGATCTCTAACTACCATCCACTACCACACGTCCGGATTTGAAGAGACTGATTTTGGAAACCGATAACTTTATTAATAAAATAAATATATATTAATCTAATATTTCATCATCTAAAATTCGAACGGTGGCCTAAGAACATACAATTCCCGTTGGAGAGACGATCTAGAATCTCGTTGGGCACAGTAATACGAATACACAACTAAATGGAAAAACACGAAGATACTGGTGTCAATCTTAATAAAGAGAGTGATGAAGAAACACCTAATCAACGCCAAAACATTTGCAACGATCGAATGCTGAACAACAAATTCATAAATTGGGAACATGTAGAAAAATGGTACATTGATTATGCAAGTTATGTCGGGTTCGATGTACGACGATGCTGCTGCAAGACTTCAAAGGATGGCATAGTGAAGAACAGACAATGGGAGTGTTCACACGCAGGTTACAGATGGAAAATTTCAGAAGGGCACCAAAGAATTAGACGGGAAAAAACAAACAATAGAGGTGGTTGCCCTGCTAAATTTCGTGTTGCACGTGACATCCGTGACGGATTGTACAGGTTAACAAATTTCAACCAATCACAAAATCATCCATTGGAGAGTCCCGAAACAGCACATCGTCTGAAGTGTAACAGGTAATAAATATTTATACAAGACATGTAATTTTTGCTTTCAATGATTGCCTAAGATAATGGTAAATTATATTGTAGAAAAATGACGGACCCTGAAAAAATTTTGTTGAGCTCAATGAATGATGCCGGCATTCGTACATGTCAGACGATAAATTATATTGAAGAAATGTCGGGTGGTCCTGCAAGTTTAAATAAAAAAAAAAAAGAAAAAGAAATGCATACAACTTCCTTACGAAGAAAAGGAATGATACGATGTGTGATGGTGATTTTAAGACTGCTTTTGCTATGCTTCAAGGTGTAATGATCAACGACCCGCAGATGGTGGTGGAGACAACTTGTGACGACGAAGGTGGATTGACCAAACCTTTTTGGTCAGATGGGTTTTCACAGTCGGCATATGAGCAATTTGGTGACGTTCTCATTTTTTACAGCACTTACAAAACAAGCACATACAAATTCCCGTTGGTCATATTTTCGGGAATATATAACCACCTAAATACCACAATTTTTGGTGGGGCCTTGCTGCATAATGAGACATCCGAATCTTACCTGTGGTTGCTAAAAAAATTTTTAGCAGCAATGAAATCGAAGATACCGGCCACCGTTGTCACAGATCAAGACGATGCTATGCGTTCTGCAGTAATTAAGGTGTTCTCCGAAGCTAAACATAGGCTGTGTGCATGGCATCTTGAGAGAAATTGTGTACAGC